TTGTGTGTTGTGGTTTTTATCATCATTACACTTCCATCAGAGAAAATTGATAGGCCAATTACAACATTATCTTGTGTCCGCTATTTTGATTGGCTGGAAAATGAAATAAAACAACAAAAAGCGCTATCAAAACAGTGAAATCGAAACAAGTAAATACAAATCATGTAAAATATTTTGTGCACCCGAAAGTTGACACCATCCTCAATAGCACAAACCAACTAATCAGACAAGTGAAAGATACTATTGTCCATGAGGGTAGCAGCTTGAAAGCACTTTCTGAGGGCCAAACATCTTTTCTTCATTTACAAGAAGAATTTAGCGCTTCAGGGTTTTTATATCATCCACAATCTGACAGTTATAGCTCAACTGTTACAGTAAGTTTGGTCACGTCCGTTGTGAATTCCAGTTGTGGGAGCGATACATAAGCTCATTTACTGACAACGTTCTACCCTCTTGTTTTAGATTACCATTTATAGCAATCACAGAGAGCCAAACAAGGAGCAATCAGTGACCAAAGAAAACAAAGCGCTTGACTTTTCAAGCCTCCAGTGCCACGAAGGAAACGCTAGCTTTAAGCGGGTTGGTGAAGTTATAAAGGAAAGAGTGATTGAGGTAGGAGGGTTTTTTCTGCCTTCACAACCTGAGGCTAAGTAGTTGACATTCAAACAGAGCAGCTTTCACTATTGACCTGTTAACAACATGGCTCATGACCGTGGGTTTGGTTTCATATAGATTCGCACAACAAAGCTCACCGTTAGGGGTACATCGACTTGTAACATACTTCGTCCCTTCAGACGTTCTCAAGGTTAAACAGAACGTTTACCAAAAAGCATCAAATTTTAAATCCTTAATCAAAACATCCCTTGGAAACTCAAAACGAGTGTCACCTTTTCTTAATACTGAGAACTGACCAGCCCACCATCGAGAACATTCCATTATAGCTTCGACTCAGGTAAAATTATCACTTTTGCACCTTTTAATTTCGCTAAGTGCGGTACTGAAAGTCATTAAATTATGTTTCCTTCGTTTTAGTCTTAAGTAATTCACAGGATTTTTTTGAGTGTCGCCATCCTCCCAGCGTATGTAATCGTTTTTCCATACGGCGCTGTAAAAGCTATTTAAGATCAAATTAATGATTTTAACATGTCGGTGGTTGGTATATAACAATCGTATTCAGCGTGAAAAGATGACCACCACAAATGAAAAATCAGCCAACGTCGATTTATTTTCTAGCTCAGTTTGTCAGACCGGTCACTTACAGAGAGATTAAGTTTAAAATGTTTCAGAAGTTGTCGAAAAATATTTCCTTTATCTTTCGTGAAGAGAATATCGCTTTTCCGAAATGTAAAATTTCAGGCATCAAGCACTTCTCTCTTTTGTAAACACTTTGTTATCTCAGAACACTAATTGACCGCTCTTTTCCTAACTTGACTTCTGCCATTCAGGTTTTAAAAGGTTGGGAGCAGATTTTCTCCATCAAAAAGAAAAAGAAAACCTGTAAAACCGACGGCGAAAGATTGTAGTTGTAGCTGGCGATTTTGCGGAGATATTTTCACCCTAATACCTTTTAAGTGTGGTTTCCGAATTAGATTAGCAAGGAATTTCGCGCAATTACTGAAGGGTTCAAGAAGGTTTTCTGTTTGTGGAGATAGCCTTTGTGTCGAGCGCGGCGGCAGGACAGCGATAGTAACGTGTCTTTCGTAGTTAAAAGTGCTAAGCTGACAATGGGGAAATCTCATTAAATATGAAATCGCATTTATACCAAAAAGAAGTGCTAAATTGGCATGCGAACAACGACTTAAGGCCGTCCGGTCTCACGCCAAAGACAACCGCTGCTAAAAGAGACCTCAAAATTTGTTATCGAACCATAAAGTGGTACACAGCAAAATAAATACTGGCTTGTATAAAGTTATCTCTTCACTGGTATACAACTTTGAATTTACTATTCCCTAACATTAATCCTTTTATCATATGTTTCACGTCCCAGACACGGTCAACTGAAAGACAAGACTCAAATGATAAGGAAAGAAATTTGAGGCAAATCGTGCCAAACTGCCATGCGGTTTAAACCAATGCTGACAGATTAATAGGGAGGTTTCAAATATAGACTTCCAGCTCATGATTTGCGCTTTTTTGCATGTGTAAAATCTTAGATTTCTATTTTAAACCACCACAGTGAATATTATAAGTGCCCCGCCTACAGCGACTATTTTCTTGCTAACATTTATTATGTAAAGCTGGATAACTACTATTTCCTCTACTTGACAGCAAGTAACAAGCTATATTCGTTTTTCTAAACATTTGAGCTGGTTTAATGCAAACGATTTTACTCGAATGGACTACATACTAAAAGTCACCGACCAAAGTCTTCGGAAATGTGAAATCCTGTAAATTGGCTGAGCAGCTGTAACATAATTGATATCGTTGACGTACATCAAATCTAATTACTGCATTCTTGGAGTATTCGCTGTATCTTGAAATCTTCTTTTAAAAATCGCCCAGCAAAAAACAAACGCTTATAACGGATTGTCTGAGCATAAGAACAGAATTGTCAGCATCGTATCGATGTTTCAGTCAACAATTGATGATATTTGCCGGCGAATTGAGGTCATTAACGCGCTCCTCTTCGCTTCCGACAGGACCGGAATTTCATCACAGATAGCAATGAAACTCTAGTCTACCATCTAAGTAAAACACATGTAGTCCATATGCAGATACGACCTGGCTGCAAACACGATTCAGCTCTCTATTTTACACGTACACTCACTTAAACGTGCACATATGCACGGTATTAAGACAATACTCCAAAAGCAACGATTAAAAAGTAGTTAGAAGGCTACAAAAGATAGTTAGCGAAGGACGGTCCACGGTCCAGTCCTAAAGTCCAGTCCTAAAGTCCAGTCCAGCTAATTTGTGGCCGGTAAATACAGAAGCCGGTTTGCATTCATTTGGAGGTTTAAAGAATGACAACCTTTAAAATGTAAATATATTCTACATGGTGATTGCTGATAATGTGTATAAAATCGACCTAAGGTTTACAAATAAAACTGACCAAAATACACCTCGTTTCCATGTGAAAACGGGTGCGTGATGTCAAAAAGATATCGTGCGGTCAAATCCTCAGAGCTGTTGTATAATCTTATCATGGAGTTTATAAGTCGGATTTTCCATCTCGTTGACAAAACGACAGACTTGTTGTTAATGAGCCATGGATTAAATCACGAACACTGTTTGTTGCCAACACGCCCCAACTCAATGGTAATGCTCAATTTCGTCGTTTTGTTGAAACCCCAGAAAGGTTATCAGTTGAGAAAAAAATTCTGTGCGAGTGGGTGTGATTTCTGTTACCTATCCGCCTTCCAGTAGTGATTTTCTTTCGTGCGCTCTTGCACGAGATGCCTTTCGTCAAAGTCGCACGAAAAAAACAAAAAAAAGAAACAAACAATCACCTTGCACAGTTGCACGTTTTCAGTCACCAACTTAACAGTTAACAGTTCAAGCACATCCTCGACCCAGGGCATCGTCGAATCAGTCACGGTACAAGATTTCTACCGCAATCTTTTGACTGTAGAATTTTCCCTGTTCTTGCTTTGATTGATCAGTTGACCTCTGATTTTCAAGATCAAACCCTGCTTCCGAAGTTATTGCTAACTTTTCTTTCAATCCCTCCCACGGACAGCCATTGTTTCGGTTAGTTCTAGGCGTTCCAACAGAGAAAGGCAATTTCGCAGAGATGTTGGAATGTTGGGTAAACACACCGTGAACCCTATAGCACTTGTAGCTAACGAGATTTCGTGGTAAGCTTTGCGGCATACACTGATACAGTAAGCCCGGTGAATGATCCGCCGGATTCGGAAATTAAATAGTTCTTTTTAGAATGCCATAAATATCTTCTGCTCTGTGCTAAGAAAGCAGGCGGACCAATTTACTGCCTCTCCTGATAAATATCCAAGTTGTCCAACTCTTTTGACAGGTACAGTTCTCTGTACCGGAATCTCTTGAAAGTTAATCAAACACGGTATAAAAAAAATTATGCTTCATATATATTATCCAGTGACGATTATTTAACAATTATTTGTTCGAGCTTCAAGTCTTTTTTCCACGAAGAACGCAGAGCCGAGCTGATCTACCTCGTCTGGCAATTCAGGTGTATCACTAGTATGTTTGACATTTCCATCAACAACGCCTAAATGATTTGACTGTTCATCTCGTGTGAGGTTCACTCGCGATAATCGTGCAAGCATTTCTACCGGTGTAAGGTATAAAAATGTTTCTCAAGTTTCCCAATGTCGATTTACCTCAATAACAGTTGCAATGCAAGAAGTGGAGAGGTCACCGTGTCCTTGAGGCTATTCGATTGTTTATCATATACAGATGACGTCGGTATTTTGAAATTTCGTCCTCGGTCTCGCTTCCATAGTTTGCTAATTTGCAGAGAATCCACACTTTCAGAAGTTGAACAACAAAGAAGCTTATCAATGAATCACCAAGTCAATGCCTACCGTCTATTTGAACGTTGAAAGACTACACGCTGGCAAAAAAATGCGAGACTCCACCTTCGTTTGAGAAACAGAAGGTCTGACAGCGGAATTAGACTATAGGCTATTATGCGTTGAGTTTGTTCCGTCAAGCTGAGAGGATCAATATTTGGTCTGTTTGGTGCAATTAAGCTATCACACCAGTCTCTGGCGCTAAGTAAGCGATTGAAACCTCGAAGAAACATCGGGCCAGTAGTTTCTTTAAGGTAAGAATTTCCAAATTGTGTTTCATCTTTGCAAGACCTCGTCTTGTCTAATTCATTCTCTAACGATGCAGTGTATTTGTTTAAGTGTCAACAAAAACACACAACTTGTTCATAGCGGGAATTGAAATCCTCTTGTCGCCGGATTAAGCTTGTTTATAAAGTTCTCCAAGTTTGCCGTGAGTGGAAATCAAAAATGGTGTTAAACTTTCCAAGAAGAGTTAGGTCAAGGGACTGTTTACAATGTATCATAGCTACTGAGCAGAAACCATGTGTACCTTCCAGTTTGGATCTGAACATAAAAACATCCCAAAGAAAGTCCTATAAAGTAGAAGTCAAACATGGAATTTTTTTATATATGAAAATTTTCAATTAACTTTCATTTAAGTTACTTAAGAATTAATTTTTAAATTTAATTTGTAGATGCGCTTCTCGGCTTGGCTTTTTAGGCACGAGTCATTTATGGTATGTAAACTTTTAACTGAAGTCTGTTTGAACGACGAACTTTTCCAGATGTGTTGAGAATAAGTTCCATATGCAAGGCGTTCTGTGTTGCACTGCTGGCAGTCTTTAAGTCCTCCGGAAATTAGTATATTTCTTAATGGAGTTAAAATTGAATGGCCTAAGGCGATAATATTTGATTCATGTTTCGTTGTTAGACTAAATACTATAATTCGAGTTGGCAGTGGGTTTTGGAAGAATTTAAGACTGACCTAGGTTTGATTTTATCTTCGTTAGAGACATTTTGTCTCTAACCAAAAGAATATTAAACAATGGTTGCATTTTGTGCAAGAGAAAATATAGCTGATTTTGTTATTTGGTTGAATCCATGCTCTGTTAACGATGTCGTACCGCTGAGAAACTGGCCAGCGTCTAAAAATATAACTTTTTAAATGCAGTTTTATTCTCTGTTCACGTGCTGAGAACTGGTTGATCCAAAATAAATTTTAACTGAAATAGATTAATTTATTCGAGGGATTACGCTAATCAGGTATCTTTTGTACTGTTTTAAACAATTACTAGCCGGCTCGATGCAATGTTTCAGAAGTTTGGGAGGTACTTTTATTACTGACCCCTGTCGCCAATTTCTTCTTCTAAAAGGGTTGCAAGTAAACTGGTAAACTGACAGACACAAAGACAAGTTCATAAACATTACTAATTTAAGATGAAACTGACAAACTAACAAACAAACTAACTTTCAAATTTACCAAAGTTAGACTGAAGTGGAACGCAAAAGATGAAATGATGCCTTCTTTTCACATTCTCCGAATAACACAACTGAAAACTTTTCGTTTACATGATGACTGTATTTCACGAGCCGTTAGATGCCACGACGTCATTTTACAGCGAATTAATGTGTTTTGAATAGATTTGGCCAAGTTTTTTTCTTTGTATTTCTCAAAAACTGTTGAAGTCACGTGCTTAGATGCACGTGCATACATGGACTATTCTGCGAATTCATCACTGATTCAAGTGATTAAAATCTATTTTCGAAATAATAAATATTTCTTGATTTAATATTTGTGAATTTCTTCAAATGTTATGAATCTTCATCTATGCAAAGGCTTCAACGTTGGAAGGTAGTGTCAGTGCTAGTTAAAACGAGTTTTAAGAAATTTGTTTTGGACGTTTTAATGTGCACTCATCTATGCCTTTTTAGAATAAAAAATACTAGCGTTTTTTTTTTATCAAGAATGGTATTCTCTTACTGGCTACGCTACTGACTATCTTTTCCGTGAAAGATAGTGAGTAGCCTAGCAGTGTGCGCTTGTTAACAAAATGGCGGCCGCTTCTTTACCTTTTCGAAATGTCTGTGAAGAGGATTTAGATAAAGGGTTGAACGACTAGAAGATTTGTATCAAAACAATTAGATTAGTCACTCTCGATTTCTATCGCGTGATGGTTGAATGGATAGAAATCTCGAGCTCATAATCTAATTGGTATAAATAACAAAGTGACAGGGATCGGGAAAGATTTGGCTGAATGCCTGTTCGCTCCGAATTTGTTGCATGCCAGCCTCAGATAACTTTGACGGAAAGGCGATGACTCTCCTCTGTTTTCGTTGTTAGGAAGTTTTTAATTGTAAATGCTTTCCTTCCCCAACTATACAAGGTTGTTTCTATCTTAGCTCGATGGAACAGTATCTACTCAGTGGCCACATTTGGACATGTGCCTTATCAAGCATGGGCGTGCTTTTATCGAGTTTTTAAAGGACGCTTACGTCAGTGATCTTTGATCGCGTGGAATTATTGGTTGTGCTATCTGACATGACCATTATGTGTTCATTTGCAGACGGATCAAACCCATTTTCACTCGAAAGATTGGCGGGACCATAGATCGTTACGAAACAACGACAAATGGCAACTCGGAAATTAAATGGTTAATTAAAAAGATATTTCAGAAAACACCCAAAATAGCGCAACCAGGTCCTTTTAAGACCCTTCATATATGGTGATCTGAAAAAAATAATAATTGTGACTAGGATTAAGAAAATCCCTGCTGCAAAGTCTTGATAAATATCAGTTCTCTTTGGTTGATACGTGCACATGACTTGTAATTCTTGTACAAGACTTATTTCTCAATTTGAGGACTTGCTGCTACCTTCATGAATTACTTGTGTAGGGAGTATGAAGGAGCAGTGAATAGGTGGTACGCATGCGTCAAATTGAAAAACTCTGGTAGACGTTTCTAAAGCTTAGAACAGAACATTGTGTTCTGGAAACAAAAAAAACGCTTAAAACTAACATGAATTTGCTGTCACTTAATATTTCATCTTGTTGCAGGAGAATTTGGTGCACAAATCAAAGTACTTTAACGTACGTTTAGCACCGTTTAGCACCGTTTAGCACCATGATCTATCCGCATACTTAGATGGTGTGAATTCGAATATTAGAGATATAGATCATGGAAAATGGCATAGTTCAAATGTCACCGAGACATAATTTCGTAAGATGAAAGGAGATTTAGATAAAGCTAATATAGTTAAATACAGGTCATCCTATAAATAGAGTATTAGCATAACAGTCTTAAGTGGAGGGTTGTAATCGTTTCCAAGCATACAAGCTGTTCATGTAATCTTGTTTAGGCAGGGTTTGCCGGTGTGTCATTTTAATCCTATAATCCTCTACGATGATCAGCGATGATATACTATTAATTTGATAGAATTTGTAGTAATCATTAAGGCGAATTAGCCTATAATTCTTGCACGGAGCATTCTGGCGTATTCGTTTGTGAACTATATCTTTTATCTAAACAGACTCTATAATTGTCAGAATGGCTCATGCTTTGTTAATGGACCGATAAGTGTTTATAACGTTCCGGTTGACCATATACCACTTAACAGCATTCCCTATTGGTATTTATACCTTAATTAACACTTACACTAGTATTTTGTAGGCAGATATGGCCTTGGAATAGAATGTCATCCCAAACTATTATCACTTGCAAAATGGAACTAGAACAGTGTGCAAAATGGAACTAGAAATGTTTTGAGTTTTAATATCCATCACCATAGTGTTTTGCCAGTTTCGTGACTTCACTTAATTAGAATTTCTATTTTAAAACACTCTTATGTATGCCCTCTTATGGAATTGTTATCTTGAATGGCACCCTTGCGTGGGTAAATTTATGCTCAGTAGCTACCCACCTACCGTTCTGTTTTGTTCAGTATCTGCCCACCTACTGTGCTGTTTTGTTACTCTTATACGTCTAAAATAATAACTGCCGCTATGAACAAAAAGTGAGGAAATGGACGTTTATTCACTATTGTGGTTATAGCAGGACAGGAGGTCTGCAGAGACAAAGATAAATCTTATCGAAAGTTTATATAGTGGAAACGCTGAAGTATTTCATGGAGTGTTTGATAAAATTGAGGACAGTGCCACATATTCGTTGATGAAACGGTCGTATCGTTGTTACATCGAGGTCTAAGTTGTGGAGTGACTGTCCAAAAGTCAGGGGCCAAACAGGAAACGGCAGCTTAGGACTAACTTCATAAACAAGTTTTAATTCGGAGGAGACATGTTTGAAGAAGGGGATAATAATAGAATTCATGCAGACGTTGTTTCAGAATCGCACTACGGGGGGTTGTCAGTAAACTCGTTCAAGTTTGCCAACTGATGTTTAAATTTCAAATAAACTGCATATTGGGAGAAACCCAGCACCAATTTAATAGCCCAAAGAACTGCATTTCGGTGACGTATTGTACAGAATTAGATTTAGTATACCTGCAAACTAATTATTTCGCGAAAGGCCACCGATTTCCCCCCCTGACTTCAGATGAGAACTCGTTTTCCCAAAAAACGTGCGGATTTGGGTGCCGTTTCAAATCATTGGGCACCGTTCCAATTGAGAGGCTACTCGAAAATACAGCTTCTTAGAAAGAGTGTTCCACCCTTCAACCATTTGTTTGTTCATCCCGACAATCATGCATCTTTGAAAATAACTTGCAATGTTTATCCATTTTTCCTTTTTCTGTGGATCATTTTGGCAAATGAGAACGTGCTCTTTTAAAATCTATTACAAAAACTTGATATTGCACAAAAACGTCATGCCATTAAAACGGAAACTCCATTTAACGAATTTTCCCTTTGTCATAATATTCAGCTATGTTCATCAAACGTGATACGTAAGAAACAATTTCAAAGGAAAGAATACTGATGGTGTAAATTGTGCCAGATGAAGCAGCCAGAAAAGGGGCAATTCAGTATTGGGTGCCAGCCAATTTATAGGCAGGTAGCAGTCACGATGGACATTTTTCATGACAAACCTTTTTGAGAATTTTAACGCAAGACGAGCTGACGGCATCCTTGTGGTTGATTTAGATACTGAAGGAAACTGAAACGCCATTGAATTGGACCGCCCCGAGGTTAAATCGACGCAAGTTACTAATTTGTGGTCTTGGTGTAATGATCCATGCCAACAACGCGTCGCCGACCCTCTGCGTGTGCTACATGCATAAAATACTATTGGAATTACGTGCTTTCTCATAACATTCCTGTACTCATCATGATGCAAGACAAGAACTTTTTTAGACAAAGGAAAGCTTAGTTTGCCCATAGGTAATACAAAACGAGGTTAGGATAACCCGCTCAGCACTGGTCCAATTTCAATTTGGTGTTTTCGCAGCATTGCAAAAGAAACTATTGTTGTAACTGTGCCTGAAGCATAGGCAATAAACTATATGTAGTCCACTGTGTATTTTCCGACCCTGCCGGTACCATCCGCCAACTGCAGAGGAGACTAGAGGCCCTTTAGTAATACTTCTAGTCAGAACGAGAGCATAAAAATGTTTATTAATATTGTTTAAAAATAGTTCAATTCTTTCCCGGACGCGAGGTGAACGAAGTTTACCACAACAAATCAAAGACCCTGTAGCATTCTTACCCCTCTGCTACAGCATTTCAAAAGAGCAACGACGAAAAGACATTACAAAATACATGACAGTAATTGATAGCCTTTAAACTGGATTCAGTTGGGAGGACGAAGAACATTTACGATCATTATATTTGCACGAAGGTGAAACATGTGAGAAGTATTAGTAGACAAATTTACTTCGTGTCTAGGTATTCAGCATTCACGTCGGTGAGTTTTATTGTGTAGTACAGATCAGCTTTCACTGGCAATACTATTTGATTCTCTCTGCCATTTGTGTAATTGACAAACGATCTTGGAAAAGAGCAAAAACGATCTCTGAAACTTCATCAGGTTGGAACAGTGTACCGAGTAGATATGTCTAGTTGTTTCTTCTAAGACCAAAGACCTGTTATCCAGATGATAGTCATCTATACTCCATTACGGTTGATGCGTGTTTAAGATCGTGCTATGAACATCAGTTTTTAATTGACAATTGCCGTTTCCGTTTCTTCTAGACATCAACAACAGCGTAACACAGCAGGAACAACCGAGCAGAATCGCACACCAACCTAGGTCAATATCTTCGTTCGTCATGAACGCAAGCAATAGCAGTTTGAACACTTCAACAGATGGCGGACCAGCTCCTGGACCCGCACCATACCCAATGAATAGCCTTTCCCACAAGGTCATATCCTCAATAGCAATTCTGATTCTAATCATCCTGACGCTATTCGGCAATGGTCTGGTCATCGCCGCTTTCTACGCGTTCAAACGAATCCGAAAGAGTGTCACAAACTGGTTTATACTCAGCTTAGCCATCAGTGATATGATGGTGGCGTTTATCACTGAACCAATCTGGCTGGCTGGCGAGATCACAACGTGGATGTATCCACCCGAGATCAACGCCACAACGTTTTCCTTGGTCTGGACCATGATCGACATCGTTTGCGCTATTTCATCCATCTCTAATCTGATGTTTATCTCCATTGATCGCTTTTTTGCTATCAAACATCCATTGATACATCACACCAAGATGACAACTGGCAAATGCAAGTGGATTATCCTGCTCTCGTGGCTGCATGCTGTGGGCACTTCGTGCCTCTTCCTGATTGAAAAGCCGTGGAAGTACCTGGTGATCTTCGTATTTGCCTTTCTAATCCCACTCGTGGTGATATTATTTTGTTACGGCGGAATCCTTCACGTGGTGGTGACAAGATCACGCCTCACACACCGTCATGGGCGACGCCTTGCCGCCGAATACAAGACGGCTAAGAGTTTAGGTGTGGTGACTGGCGCCTTTGTCATTTGCTGGCTTCCTTTCTTCCTGACTTCACTGGCGTATCAGTATTGTGATTCTTGCCAGAGGGACATCATGAGCATTCCAGCTATAACCTCGGCTGTAAAATGGCTGCACTATCTAAACAGTTGTCTAAATCCTATAATTTACGCCTTTCTCAATCCTACATTTAAACTGGCCTTTAGGAATCTTATCAGGAGAATGTGCGGTAAAGGGTCTTTAAATTCCCCAGACACTGAGGCGTCTTCGATGTCTTTCACCTACCGGCGAAAAGACACTTACACATCTGTAAGAGAAAACAGCTTTAAGAGTAAACCCGAAAATATACCAAACGGCAGTGCACCTTGTCATAGGAGTCCTCTTTTGAAACAAGAGGATTCGAAGATTAATGGAACCGTCGTGCACGACTCAATTAGCGACGATGGAAGCGTCGAGAGAGGTATTGAAACGCCTGAAGAAAAAAACTGTAGCAGTGACCACTTCTGTCCTATAACGCCTCCCCCATCCTACGAAGACTGCTATCAGTTACAAAACTCTAATAACATTGATTCATTACAAAGCGGTGACAGCGAGGTGCCAAAAATAGAAACAGGTGATTGTAACGAAGGCATGCAAGGGGCATACCCCCGTCAGTATGAAAGGACTGTGTCATTTTTGGACGAGGTCGAAATATGCGGTGAAAAGCCATCGGTCGAGATGAAAGACGATCTCTCCACGTTAGAGGGACATTTCTCCACCTATCATGATGAGGAGAAGAATCAAACTTTCTTACTCGTTGATGGAGTGACAATTCCTGAAGGCGAAATTCGGACTTCTGACGTTTGAAACGAGAACATGGCCAAAACCATGCATTCCCATTGATGTGTAGAATGGTTCCCCAAGGAATCCGAAAACGAGATGTCACATCGATGTAACTACAGTTGTCCGTCTTTACGATTCATACGAAATGAGTATGATACAGAGATACTTTGATACAGAGGCACATACTCCAAATAGCAAGATAATTCCCAATGAATGCGTTCTTTTATCAGACGTACACCCGATGAGCGCAAGTAATGGCTCGAAACTTTTGTCGCAGGAGATATTCTGTAACTTGAACGCCAGGTACTCCAATCAGTTTAAAGGAGCTACGTCACGGTGTGCGCATCTTGAAAAGTTCAGCCAGCGTTTTTCAAGTTCGTCGTTTGTAATCTATGTTAATCTTCTCCATCCTTAACCATCCTTGTTCCTTTATGGTTTTTTATTATTTCTTCGGTGTTTTTCTATCTTGGTAAACTACCATTTTTAGTTTTTTTTTCAATTTTAAGATGGTTTTGTACGTGACCAAAATAACTCAAAATTCTGCTGACTGAGCTCCTTTAAAGTGCTTTTGTCATAATGTATTGTGCTACTTTTGAGGCCACGTACCAAACATTCAAATTGGAAGAAATCTCTAAACGTAAACGAAAAAATTATATAAAGTAGAATAAGTGCGAAAAAGTAATATTGAACTGAAAAGCAGCAGTGTACGCGTTTCCTTTGGCATAATATAAGAAGATACTGGAATACACCAGGGCCGGGTTGTTCAAAACCCGACTAAGCTATCCCAGGAATAGCTAGAATTTTGATTTCAGCTTTGCAACTTTGCCAAGAGGTTTTCTGTTTATATTGTTTTTCCTTCAGTTTTGAGTTTGAATAATCTCAAACTATACAAAACATAAACAGTGAAAAACCATTTTTATGCTGAAAAAAATTAAAACTTTGGTTATCTTTTCATTCTGGGTTAGCGTTAATCGGCTTTCGAACAACCCGGCCTTGGCCTTTATAATCAACGCCATTACGACTTCATTCAGTACAGCGCGCCTGCGTGTAAAGTAAATAGCGGACGTCCACACATGGGCCACCACTTCCTACAGATTGCGATGCGATTGCATATGCGATTGCATGCCAAATGAAGTCCAGACTTTGAATATAATTTAATCAATGGAAAATTTGTCTAGTTCAGCGAATGATAAGCCTGTAGACTAACGCATTATGTCTACCCTGCTTGAGTCAGGACCTCCAGATAATCCCCTGAAGGGTCCGCCAATCACGCGGGTTTCCTCGACGAAGCTCATGCCGCGGTCAGATCCGACGTTTATAAGGCATTTAGGAGCTGATTCCTGGGAGTAATTTGCCGATAGTTTGACACGTTCGACCTGTTTCTTTGAGATATAATTGGTGGCTTTTAATATGTCTCGTTTAGTCGTGGAAACAAGTGGTATTTTTATTATCGATTATACTTTGCATTGAGCGGATAGTTTTCTTTAAGGATGTTGCTATGTTACCATATGGCGTCTATGAGACACGCCTGCAGGAAATCATGGTAGCTGTATTCATCAAAACAAATATCCAAGTCCAGTCCAAGATGATGAATGCAACTTCCATGATTCCCTGCAAACAAGTCGCGTAGAGGGAATTGGTCATTTGGTTCCATGCTGTTGAGGCAATAATCGATCGGGGTAATTGTGTATCGTTTTAACAGAACGATCAGAAATTCGGATACTATTGGAGTATTTCAACAAAGTTTTGGAAACTAGAGTCTGTTACCCAACTGTGAAAAGCAGAAATTTGGAGAGACGGGATTTGTAACGCTAACTAACTAGTTCAAAAGAAGCTGTTATCTTAATATCCTTATTATTATTAACTGGTAGCTGAAATCAGCTGCCATTTAAGAATCAAAGAGTCGCTATTAATTACCATATCTGCTTTAATTACAATAGATGGTAAAATAAAGTGTACCATCCTAGCCTAAAAATAGTGATATAACACGTGTAACTTAACTGATTTTATTATTATTGTTGATGGTAGACGAAGCTGGGCTTTGTACTTATAGCAACGGTGTTCATTTGAGCTCATTCAATAAATACGCTTGTTTTCGACTGGCAGGGAAGAAATCCGTTTGTTTTAAGAAACTATTCCACTTATACGATATTCGGAAATTTTAAATCTTTTGGACTTGTAAACTGGTAAAAACGTTCTACAACTGTGAGATTCACTACTATTAATCTTTCAAGCTTTTCAGTCATATGTAGACAATGCAACGGTATACATCATTCTATCATTAAAGATGCATTTCTCAATTCTGTTATCGTTTGAAATAGTTGTTAACATCCGATGTACTTTCTTGGCAAAAGGGCAAATCAGACCATTAGTGATTATAGAGCGGTTTCCAAGTGAGTATCGTAGAACCAAAATCGAGGTAATCACTCTAGCCAATCACAAAGGACACAGACAATACGTTGAACCAATCAAAACTCAGTAATTACGTGTAGCTGACGCAAAGGGCGGGAAAACGTTTACGAGCGAGTAACGATTAGTTTCGCTTTTACTTCTGAGTGGATGAAAAACTGGCACGAGATTTTTGAGCCAGTCGTGTAACGTAATTGATGCAAAACCAATTACATTTCGACACTCAAATGAAAAGCGCTCTATTAGAATTAGATGAAAACATTTGTCAAACGCCTGATATTACCCCAGGACAGATCCTATTAATGTTCATGTACTTCTGTTAGCTGTGGCACGTTTCCACAGCACATCAAGTCAATTTAGTCAAGCCATGATTTTCAGCTCGGCGTCACGAAATTATGAGGCAGAGGAATTGCCCGCATTCAAATTCAGTTTAATTTCTGTATAGGGGCAAGAGAACTCGATGGGCATCCCGCTCATGTGAGTAGTAGATCAGTAGTAGGCAAACATCTATCTCGAGAGATAATGGTAGCGCTTTGGTCGGTCAAGACCGGTCCTGTTGAGAGCAGTGTCTGGAGTGGCTCAGCAGTCCGATCCTTGCATGACAGTCTTTTCCGTAGGCGTTGCAGAAAAAGTTTCTAGCTCTCTGGGTCGATGCCTGTGAGTTTCAGGTCATGCTTGGAGACATCCTTGAAGCGCAGGACTGAACGGCCAACTGGGCGTTCTTCTGTGGCCAGTTCTCCATACATGACATCCTCTGGTACTCGACCGTCCTTCATTCGGTGCACTTGTCCCAACCATCGCAGTCGACGCTGACAGAGGAGGAGATGCATGCTCAGCCGGAGCCAGCTTGCTCCAGCACAGTAGCATTGATGACTTTGCCTTGCCATTTGATGCCGAGGATTCGTCGTAGGCCGCCGAAGGTGAAAGCGGCGTTCCAGGCGCGGGACAGAGAGATTAACTCGGACTCGTAATTGATCAAGTTAAAGACAAAGGAAATATCTAGACACAAAGTCCTCGCACAATGAAAAGAAGAAGTTACAATTTCGTAGGCTTATAGGCATCTCTGTGACTTGACACTTCCTAGTTAAAAGCAAAATTCCGTCCTTCCCATTCTCTACATTGTTCGCAATTCCTTTCGTTCCTTAGTCATTGGTCCCAACTCCTATTCCAACATTCTTCGCTTTTTGTCATTGATTGGTCTACCCTGTAAGATGGAGATTCCATTATCTTGCTGCTCGCTGAGAGACAGAGGGAACCTCTGCTCCCAACCGTTTGAACGTTTAATCAGCCACCGTCCACAACCAGGGATGAATAAATTTGAAATACTGGTTTTTGACAAGTTTTAACCGGTTTATGACTTACGCATGACAGAATAGGTTCAAAACGCCGTCCGTTTACAAGACTGCCGACAATATCTGCTGCCCAGTGATTGGCTGAGAAATTGCAATTGGCATGGCAACATTGCACTGCCAGGAGTTCGTCAGGTACGCATTAAATTCAAAACGTATTTTTTTTTTGTTTGCAGTAGACGTTTTCGTTGACAAGAATGCTATTAATTAATCTGCCTTTAAGAAAGCAAATCGCTTGCCGAGTAAATCATGTTATGTGGAGAACTGAAGAACTGAAATTGGAAATTCCAAACTCCTTATATTTGGTCAGGAGAGACCATTTCCAAAGATTTTTCGCCTGTAACGAATCTTGCAGAGAATTAGTTTTTTTGTGTGTGTGCAGGGCTTGGGAAATCTCTGATGACAAGGTTTATAAACCAAGGTTAGCGAATTTTGCTGATTTTTTCTTACGGTGTTATGATATAACAACATAAGATGAATCATCAAAATTCGCTCAAAAATCTCGTTTAAAAGCGCCAGGATGAGAAGAGATGACAACGTGATCGATTTCAATGTCATCTTCTAAACTCCATGCAAACTCTTACACTTCAGCCACAGTTCTCCATACGAACTCTTATTGCAGGTTTACACTGTCGCGCAATCCAAAAAAAAAAAAAAAGTAACCATTTAATAAATTAACGCAGGAATCTGGGATATGATAGATGATTGACATATCAACAACCTCGCCAAGATTTAGTTCTGTGCGAGTTTTGTTCGCGAGTTATTCGGAAAAAGTGCTTCAACCAAATTTATAGAGCTTTGTATAGAGACGCCATGTTGGTGCCCTTCCGAGGGGCACCAACATGGCGGCCGTAAAGTAACAGAAACATCTGTAATTGAATTTTGCCATTGACACGAAATATTACTCTAGAGTTCCAACACATTGAAAGTAATAATTTTTCTAGTGCAAGAACTGTTTAGTTAGCAAAAACGTGAGCGATAACTCCTCTTTTGATTTATGCGAAAGCCCTCTCAGGTCGCCACTACATTATATCTTAATGTCACGCGGCGCAAAAACTTGGAAATTCAAACGTCTTCTATAACAAAATGAGGAACCCTGTCGAGCTTAAACTTTGTAAAACGTCAATTCCTCAGAGGGTCTTCTATCTGATGAGACTAAACCTGCAGAAGGATTGGTTATTTTTAATGTTGGAAAATGATGACGTCACACTTGGTGACCTAAGGTTCGAGAAAGAAATGTACAGTACTCACGTTTCTGACGAAGTAGTCCCGGGTTTCCACTGCTAAGAGCTTGTTTCCAGTTCCCCTTGACTAGTTCAAAGGGCTTTCTATTACTGCCTCTGCCCTGGCTGGCAGAGACAAGTTCTTGTTCCATTTAAAACTTTGGCTTGTCAGATACTGAGAAAAGTTGGATGAAGCGCCTTCCCCGTTTATTAAATCATTTATTCCCCATGCGTTTGCTCGTCCGCATCTATCTCATGTTGCCACGCTCCCTGAAAGAAAACCTGGACAGCTAGGGTGGCTGTAACACAGGCTAGTCCGCATCATATCGTGCGCGTTTCCTGTGAATTCCCTCATACATTCTCATGCATCTTCTGTGCCTTCGCAATTCTCTTACGTTTACGCAGTCCCACTGTAAACAACTCCATGTATTCCCCATATGGTTCTTAGCCTGCGTAGCTTGGCGGTTTAAGCAATTTTTTAAGCAATTTGAGCGCGAGCGCACAAAGCGGCAAAGCTGCGAAAACGAGCGGCAAAGCCCCTTGGTTTCTCAGTTGCCTCTCTCTCAGGCTCCTCGCGGCTTCGCCGCTTTCTTAGCGCGCTCAAATTGCTTAACGTCATTCCACTGCAATGATAGAGTCTGCACTGAGATTTTTGTCAAACTTTGCCTATTGACTGTTTATATTATAGGAACTTAAATTTTGAAATAAAAATGAGGGGTCCCCATGTTCGTTTAGGAGCAACAGCACCTTGTTTATACCCAATAAATCCTTATAACAGCACCATGATTGTAGTCACGATTGCTTGCCAAATTCACGTTTCCGACGATTGTTTTTTGTTCTACACTGAGAGTTTGTCCATACTTGTTTTACGCAGAGAAATTTATTACTCAATTCAGAACAACAGAAAAAAGAAATGATAGGTCACCATACTCGTTTGCGAGAAAATGACGATTTACGTCTATGGCGAGGTCCAGCCGTAAAGAAAAAGCCGCCATTTTTAATGCGCACGCGCTAAGCACGCGTTAAATTATGCGCAGTAGGGATGCGCAATGCAATACTGGGGAATGACCTTAAAAACCGCCAAGCTACGCAAGCTATATGGTTCTCGGTGAGTGCATTTTGTTCCCCGTGAGTTCACAGCAGGTTTCCCATTCTTTACATTCTACACGTTTTTTTTTACATTGTTCGCAATTCCTTTCGTTCCTCAGTCCTTGGTCCTTACTCCTATTCCAATATTTTGGACTTTGTTCGAATCCGTGACGGTCAATTTTCGCTTTTGTCACGGATTGGTCACGTGTCTTGAAGTTGAAACCGAAAAACGCAGCATAATGGTCGGCCGAAATTTCCTGGTTGCTGCAGTTTTTGTTCCTCTTGTTTGTTTCTTACTTTTCAAATTCCAGGATGGTGATTTTATATTGATGATCTATGAGAAGATCGGTCAAGATCCAGCGGTTGCCTTGCGAGGAAAAGTGGTCTGGATTACTGGCGCTTCAAGCGGTATCGGTGAATATTTGGCTTATGAACTGGTCAAATATGGCTGCAAATTAGTACTATCTGCGAGAAGGAAGGCAGAATTAGAGAGAGTCAAGAAAAATTGTGCAGGTAGGTTGAAATAACTTGGGCAAAATGGGTTTGCATTCAGTAGCACTTCGTACATGTAAGCTTACTTATTATTCACTACTTAAAGTGACCATGAAATGAGACCTAATTGCTGCTTATTTTAAAGGTTTTTCAAAGTAGAGAAGAATGGCGTTTACCTTTTTGTAATATCTTCGTTCGTTTTAGAGATATTTTGACGTTGCTGTATTATGCAAATGAGGAAAGTGATGACGTCATAAGTTAGTGCAACTTAAACAGTCAAAAAAAAAAAACTGAATCAAGAATATCTCTAGAAATATTGGAGCGGCGTTCTTTAAACTTGGCACCAGATATGTACATCGCAAAAGACACAAAATGACACCTGTTGTACCACTCCTACGACGACACTCTTGGCTCTTGTCTCTTTCTGTCAAAAACCAAATATCCCCATTTGGAACCCTTTACTGTGGGATAGAGGGTCAAGGGTCCTGCTTGGAACAGACATGGTTCCTGTATTGTCTTAATTCTCTTCATTAGATTGCTAGTGGTGGATGATCCTTGGTTAAGACAAAAACAGGGAAATATTTCAGTCTTAATTAAGAAAGGACAGGCAGCAAAACTATTATTGTAGCAAATTGGCACAACAGGTGTCATTTTTATTCCTTTTGTGATGTTCTTCATTATTCTTGTACTCAGTAAACACACATAGCTATTGCACCAGTCACTCTCTCAGTGCCTAGCTATCCACCGGAGCACTAACCAGGCATAATTGTTTACCTCTGTTGCTCAGATACCCACTGAATATTGTGCTAATTGTGACACATAAGAAATATGTTTATTTATTAATTTTTTTCAGCCATTGCCATGACTCATGATTCCTTGTTTAAAAAAGATCAAGATATTCTTGTCCTTCCTTTGGACTCACTAAAATTTGATACACATGAAAAACTGACACAAGATGTCCTCAAGCACTTTGGAAAGGTATAGTGTTGTTTCTTGATTATTGTAAAGTCAGAGTTTTAGACTGTTTAGCTATGGAAATAATTTGGTTCGTTACATTGAATCTGCAAAATATCAGAACAAATGTTTTGGAAACGATCAGTGCAAAACACAGACTGTGGACCGTGGACTGCAGACTGCAGCTGGAGGTTAACTGCAGACTGAGGGTAAAATGTGGACTGCAGACAGTAAGACTTTTTCAACCGAATCGTGTTAACAACCATTTCCATCATTGAGAGCTAACTGTAAACAGGCTAGCCAGAGCATTTAATGTAGGCTAGCCTGAGTGATATTCAAGCAGACCGGAGTTGTAATGAGGCTTTAACCCATGCCAGAGGGCAGACTTTCACTATGATTAGCCAGAATAACCCTGTTTATGGTTAGCAGTGACGATGTTGGAAATAACGCAATATATACTTTAGAAGTCTGTAGTCTGCATTCTGTATTTTACCCCTGGTCTGCAGTCTGCATTACTCTCAATCTGTACTTTACCCCCAGTCTCCAATTAGAGTGAAGCCTGGGCAAAATTCGGGAGATGCAGTGGCCTCATGATTAGTGAGCTCGTCTCCAAATCACCCAGTGGGGGGACTCCCCTATGATGCTCACTTAGGTGTGGAAATCAAGGATTGTGAACTCTGCACTTAGGATATTCAACACAAAACATGGCGCTATTCTTAGCTGTCAAAGTATCTTTTAGGGTGCTCTCAAAGAGATAACATTTGAAAAACACTCTCAAATCCATTTTTTGGCATGATTACCACCGCTCTGTCGAGTCCCGTCTACTAGCACAGGCTCCTTTCCCAAACAGTAGCTAGTAATATAGCCTATCCTGGTGGTAATTCTTTTAGAGGTCAAATAAAGCTTGAGCCACGCCCAAATTGGTCTTCTTTTGGGGTTTAATTCAAATTTTCCAATGAGCATTGATCCCCATCCTTTTTATGGATTGAGTAGTCCTGATTCAAGGTCTGGCTGGAAATGAGTATACACTGTCAAAGCCCTGACCTGGTTGGCCGGCTTTGTATGGAGACTTAACCTTAACTGGGCAAAATTATTAGGTGACATGAAAATAACAATATTATTTTGGGATATAAGTGCTTTTTAATATCAATCCAAAGAAATTTTCCCCTGCATTATAATTATAACTATTTTTTAAGTAAAATAATCTGTTTCAACAGACAGAAGTTTTATTTGACTTATTTTTGTTTTAAATTTGGGTGCATGACAGCTTGTGCTTTACATGTAGTGATTTTCTTGTTGTACCATTTTATGAGGTATACTCATACAGGGGTTAATCATTAATGTTTTCAGTAAGAAATTGCAACTGGTTTTCACAGGCATGCAAAATATTTTGAACTGAAATTTTTTATAAGATAAACCTTCCTCCATATAGTCAAACCAGACACTGTGAGGCAAAATTGACCTCACAGCTGGTCAATTTAAATTACCCAGAACCCCGGGCCCTAAATCAAAGCTCTCTCTATATAGTGAGTACTGCCATGGAGTCACATAAGGTGCATAATTTGCTAAATATTACTTCTTAGCAAAACTTTCAAATTGCACTTTACATGGAACAACCAGTTATTTCAATCTATATACTCAGACTACAGTACATACCATAAATCCTCCAATTTTACGCCCCTCCTGTCGGCCAAAATTTAAAATAAGCGCCCGATATGGACGAGTAATGAGACAACAAAGGATGTATAGTTTTCGTCGTGGAGTATTAGATTTGTACAATATTTCAGGTTGTGAACACGTTAAGTTTTAAAAAAAATTACATGGAGTACTAACAGTGCCACAATTTAAAGTTTAGGATCAGCTTTTTATGTTGATTTAAAACAGCTTATGTTGTTGTTTACGCGTGGATGATGCATATAAAAAATGATCATGTCAGGCCATGATTTAATTGGCNCCCCCCCCCCTCCCCACCTCGATTAAGCGCCAGCCCCTCAAATAAGCACCCCCATCTTCTCCTAAATTTGAAATAAGCTTCCGGGTGCTAATTCGAGGATTTACGGTATGTTGTTTTCCTTAAACTCTTGCAGACTCCAATGATGCACATTTTTTTCAAATTGTGCTAGCTGTTAGTAGTAAATAATTTAGAGCACTTGATCATGATGTATCAGAAGCTTTGTTATTTCAGGCACTGTAACATATTTCAAAAAACAAAATGGCATGAGGCATGAAGCCAGTAATTTTTTCTTGTCATAATAGATTGACATTCTGGTGAACAATGCTGGTAGGTCACAGAGATCATTGGTGGAAAAAACATCATTACAGGTCGATAGAGCACTTTTGGATTTAAATGTTGTTGGTCCCATCTCTTTGACCAAAGCAGTTCTCCCGCATATGATTGAACATCATGAGGGACAGATTGTGGTGGTTAGCAGTGTTGTGGGAAAGATCGGTAATTATATCATTAATCTAACTGTTGGAATTAATCAATTTAATGATTTGAGTTGCGGGTTTTTAAATTACTTTTGACTGGGTTGATAATAACTTATGTCTTATAAAACTGAAAGTCTTAATAATAGATGACTGTCTGATCAGTGAGTAGCTGACTGACTGACTGACTCAGACGACTGACTGACTGACTGACTGACTGACTGACTGACTGACTGACCCCATACAGATGGACTAACAGACAAACATGAGCGGTCACGGAAAGACAAATGGTCAGATCAACTCAGTGGTAGCCTGCGAATGCAGACATAACCAAGTGTCTGCCAGAAATACGTCTTGCAGGCTAACCCAGTGGGGGTCACTCCCATATAAAATGGACGTGGGTGCTTGTTGGAAATTATGAAAAGAACCCCTTGGTAAGGGGTACCGAGATCCTGTTTTGTTGGCAAAAGCTCCTGTTGTGGATCTTTTGAGGCTGGACACCCTTAAAGAGATACCAAAACCACTTTTCTTATTCCCTAACAAGTACTTTGATTTGAGCACACCCTTTCCCTTTAATATGGGAGGGCCTGATCGTGGGCTGACGAACTGACACATTAAACATAGCTTTTGTTGAAATGATGTTACAGAATAATTTAACCTACCTTCACCTTTCTTTAAGCTACATGTTTTAATCTTTTTGAGGCAATTAGGACTATATGACAGCCTCAATCATAATTGAGGTGAGAATTTAGAATTTGACAAGAATTAATTGGCCCTCTTTCCTTTTGACAGCTTTAACCTGTTGTCACCAAAACACCCTGCATTTAGTGTCACCAATATTTTTAATAAATTTGTCTTTGATCAGTGAGTACAGTGAAAAAATGCACGACTGATAATATATACATGTAAATTTTTATTAAACTTCCTTTGAATTTCGATGTCAGCCTCATTAGTAACAGGTAGGTCATCGCCTTTCACCTAGTCCCTGAGAGATTTGTGATAATTCAATTGTTCTGTTGGGTTTGAAAGTTAATAAAATAATATTGGGTTAATTTGACCAAGCGTGAAGTCAAGATGGCTGGGTATTGGCCAAGTACTTTTTTGCGTGTTTATGGACAGAGATACAATGAGGTCATGTCATAAACACACAAAGAACGAATGACGCCAATATCCAGCCCTCCTGGCCAAACAATTAGCTTGGTCAATAAAGGATTTATTGTATGGAGAAAGAATAAATTTATTTTCTTACAGGACACAGCGGGTAGTCCCAGGTGGGCAAGATTAAGCCCCATCTTGCCCACTTGGGTAGCCAATCACTTTGCAGGATTCGGTTCGTCTTGCCCACTCACAAAAAATAATTATGCTGGATCAGTTTTGTAAGGCATTAGTTAAGTCCTGTCATACATGTAAGCATATATGTAATTTTGATTAATGATATTATTAAAAGGCCACACCTATACTTGTAGTAGATTTTTTGTTGTTGAAAAGAATCGCATGTAGCTCTCCTTTCATAAATTAAGAACCTATTTAATCACCTGATTATATATATTGGCATGAATTGTTAATAATTACCCCCAAAAGTTCTTTAAGAATCTGCAGTTTCAGAATCTAGGTTCTGACAGATGCTGGTTTTTACTGTCAATGATATTTTGTGAGTAATATAATCTATGATTATAATATGATAACATAAAACTATATAGTAAATTACGGTATTGACATATCAGCAGTTGTTTCTAATATTCTTCACAGGGATACCTTTCAGGGCAACTTATTCAGCCAGTAAACATGCATTGCAGGTATATACTTAAGATGAAAATGCTTCTAAAAGAAAGTTCTGCAACAATTGTAAGGAGTGGAATTCCAGTTCTTGAGACAATAATGGCTAAATTACGCTGTCACAGCATAATTTCAATTTTAATTTTTCTTCATGTCAAATTAAGACTGTTTGGTTCGTGTTGCCAGTGTTCTTTGCTTATGTAGTAATTTCCAAGGAAACAACATTGTTTTAATTGAATGTCATTTAAGGAAATAACAGCTTTAACAAAATTCTTGATCATGATTTGTTCTCTGTGCTCCTATTTGTCACGTAATCAGTGCACGATTACTTCCGTGTCCAGTTACAAATATCCAGTTACAACTTTTTGTAATTGGATACTTTTAATTGGATACCTGTGCCATTTGCACGTCAATATTATGCACACTTTTATGGCTTCCTTCTCAATGTTAATCCTACAGTTTTTAAAACTTGTGAAATAGCATTACAAACTTTTTTGCTCAAGAGAGGTTCCCAAAAGACACTTTTAATTCCGAAATTTCTTATAGTTGTGATTACTTAGTAATTGGACCTTGTGTTCTAAAATTCATGGGGTGAATAATAAATCGTGCATGTAACTTCAAATCGGCCTCGCACTTCACGCCTCGTACAATTTTGAAATTACTCGCCTGATTTAATGCCCTAAACTGTACTCCACTCGGTCCAATTACTATTACGAATTGTGGAAGAGTTGCACATAATAGGATGACTGTGTATCAAGTCTACTTAAATTTCCAAACAATATTATTTCTTTAAAATTATTATGCCTCCGGGTTATGACAAAACACTTAATTATTAGTCCCAAAGGAGAAGGTTTGTTGTGGAGTAGAGGAGCAACACTTACAGCCTTGGTCAGAAAATACTTAGTACTTATAACCATTATTGTATGTTTTTTTTTGTAGGGCTACTTTGATACTGCACGGCTGGAGCTGGCTGAGCACAACATTCAAGTACAGACTGTTCTGCCAGGACCTGTCAAGTCAAATATCAGTCGTTATCTTTTCACCGAGAATATCAGTGATGTAAGAAAACATATTTTTATTGGTAAATGGTTTGAACCCAGGAGTATCAGTAGTTCGTATAGTGTGATCGTCCGGGTGAGGGTAGTTATGAAAAGAACTGTTGTTGATGACTGACGTTTCGACAACCTGAGCGGAAATCATCTTCAGAGTCAAGTGAATACTGTTTGTCAGTCGATGATGTTATAAGTCTGGTCCGTTGAACGTGATTGGTCCGTTTAGCCATGATGGTATTGGCTGAAAAACTCGTGTAAAGTTTGTCATCAGTCATTGGTCGGTTTCAATCCGTCTATTGTTGGTCAAATTGGTCGGTTTTTGGTCTGTCTATGGTTAGTCAAATTACGGTCGATCTGTTAGAAGTCCGTTTGTCGGTTTCGTTTCCGTCGTGGATAAGTCATTTGTAAGGCGCCGGTAGTTGTTGGCATCTGTTAAGAGGTTTTTTCGCCGGTAGTTGTTGACATCTGTTAAGAGGCTGTTTCTTCAGTCGAATTATCTTTGAAGACTGTAAACCCGTCCCTCCAAAACTCTAAGGGAAAAGCCCTCAGGAACGAGGTTGTTGCAGAGTGACATTTCACAGTTATTTACATGAGAGGGCGCCAAAATTTTTAGCTCGACGAGTTACCAAATTTTTCAAGCAATGGGGCTCCGCTCATCCACCTTCGACGCGTAGTAGCACCTCTATAAATCTTAGACTTTGATTGGTCAATTCAAATGGGAACAGGGTATGATATTGTAACTAAACAGTGCTGACTCATGTCTGCCTGGCAGAAACCAACTTTGTGTGTTTACATTTTTGAAGAGCAACAACAACTGACATTCAGTAATCAAGTAATGCAGTTGTAACCATTTCAATTTTTGTTACATTATGAAACAAATTTCCTGTGACGCAAGGCTTTTGCCCTTTCAGGAGCGTAAAGAAATGCCAAATATGTTGGACGAACAAATGACTACTGAGCGCTGTGCAAAGTTAATGGCAGTAGGCATGGCAAACAAGTTGGATGAAGTTTGGATTTCAGAGAACCCAGCCCTACTAATGGTCTATTTAAACCAGTACTTGCCAAATTTCTCTAGATGGTATGTATTGCTCCATGTAACAAGTTTGTTTTTGTGAAGATAATAACTTAAACCTTTATTAGTATAATTACTCAGGTGATTATAAACAATTATTAGATGAGGTTTCTGTGATATCCGGAATAATGAAGGTCTCGGTTAGTGTTACAAGCCGAAGCTGAAGGCTTCGGCTGATAACACTAACCGAGACCTTGATTTTTTCGGGTGGCACAAGAACCGAATCTCATAACTGTTTTATTATAAATTGTTTAAAGAAAATAACGACAAACGGATTATCGCACCGAACACAGTTTATTTTCGACAAACCATGTTCTTACGTGAACTTGACATTGCTCTTGGAAATCATGCATTGCGCGCGCAACCCACGGATTATTCACTAATCTGCTGGCAGATTAGTGAATAATCTGTAGGTTGCGCTGTTTCACAGAATCAACTGAAGGCTTTTAGCCAATGAAAAGTCAGATGGTGATTACAATGTATAATAATAGAAACTCTTGAGCATGACGTTTACGGCAGACGGCAAACGGCAAAGATGACCTCTGATTTTTTATTCTTTTCTTCTGATCCTTAAATAAATCACACAAAAATAGAAAAATGTCTCCTACTATTCACGGCAAATATAAATATTTTCACACTACTGTACAGACAGCTGAAGACAGACGGCAAAAGGTTCATTTTTGCCGTTTGCCGTTTGCCGTAAACGTCATGCTTAACCTCTCTAATGGCGTCATATTCCGCTATATTCACCTCCGACTAATTTTCAAAATGGCCGCCTCGCGCTTTGTCGATGTCTCTGAAGAAGAAATTAATATAATGAAAGAAAATGCTATTCCGAGAAACACCAAACATGCTACAAAGTTCGGAGTCACCCTTTTCAAAAGTAAGATGTGAAAATTGTGCTAAATATTACAACGAAACCTTTTAAATTCACTTGAAAATGTCGCTTATTTAATATGTCGATATCTATGATAAATGTACAGTTACACGGCCAAAATGAAAATCGGCCATTTGAAAACACGCTCTCTGTTAGCCGCAAATAGATGCGGACCGTGCATTGTGCATTGCGCTGTGAAATATTTGATTCGCAACATCTAGCAATGAATCTTATGTCAATTTACTCATAAACCTTTATTTCAAAAGTTATGTCCGTTTGTATCAGCTCATGTACGAACATTTGCAGTATGGGTAGCAACCCCCTGGGTTTAGTCCTCTGTACCTTGATTTTAACGTTCTGACATATCTATCAAAACTGTTTTGTAATGTCTTTTCTATCTCCAGGATTTCTAAGAAGTTCCTAATGGAAAGATTGAGAAAACTTATCATGAACACGAAACCTTGATCAGAAACCAACAAGTGATAGACTTAGGAAAATGGAATGGTGAACAGTTGTGAAAGTATAACAGTGTACCTCCCCGCTTCTGTATGTGATGCCACTGATCAGCCCTACATGCACCACTTTACAGACCGGCGAAATTTTGCAAAGGTGGATTACGCTATCCATCTGATAATTCACTGTTCCTACAATTTATGTTTAGCTCTTATTAACCGAGCAGGAGGTCTGTATGGGAGAATCTTGACCGAAGTCGTGAGTACAGACCGAACGCAGTGAGGTCTGTAGACACGACCAAAGTCAAGATTCTCCCATACAGAGCGACTTAGCTCGATTAATAAGATGTTTATTACATGGCAAAGAAGAAAACTTTTATTCGTTTAATGTAACTGGTTTGCTTGCAAACGGAGATGAGCTTAACTTTAACCTGCCGAAATTTGCTCGTCGTCTTTACTT